ATTTGACAAAAGATGACACTTGTAATACAATTAGAAAAATGCCATTACAAAGGTCAAAAGAAAATGCCCCTGTAAATCACTTTGAGTCAAATGTCACCTCATATTAGGAAGGCTAATTTTTGATCAGAATTTTTTATTATTGATCAGAAGGTGCTCCTAAATGTTTTAATTAGGAGGACAAGCGCTCCTAATTATAAGAAAAAATTGCTCTTAAACTGGGTGTGTGACAGGTATGGCTGTGGAACTGGGTTTGGCTGAGGAAAAATTTTCAGTCAAAATATATTTTTTTGCTTTAACCCCTGTGTTAAATAACACAAATATCCTTTATGCATTTAATCTCATTTTATTAACCAGTGTCTTTGCTGCTGACCTTCAATGATCCAATTCAACCATACTAATAAGCAAAAATTATTTTAGATAAACGTAACATTTGTGTTTCCACAATGTAACATGTAACATTACTTTCCATAAAAGTAACGCAATATTGTAATGCATTACTTTTAAAAGTAACTTTCCCCAACACTGGTCATGACTTGGCAAAATGTTAGCTTATTTATAATAGTTTTTGGCATGTAAATGTAATTTTTCATGCCGCCTTCAAAGGTATTTTGTCTTAATCAGTAGAAATTGAATCCCCCACTCTTCTGTTATGGTGTTGTTATATGGCAACCCATTGATTCAAAGGAGTAAACGCTTACACAGATGAGCCTTTTGAATGCAGTTGAGCATTGACTCAGCATCCATAGACAGGCATGATGGTGCTGCTTTTAATTGTGAGGTCGGACACGGTGGGGTTTCCCTTTCGCTTGAACTGTGTGGGGGGCTGAACGAGGCAACATTAACCCCTCACTTTCCTCTCCATCTTGAGGTCGAATGCTTTTCACGCCTTACCTGTGTAAAATAGAGGCTCTGAGGTAAAGGGTAGAGGTAAATCATTGTGTGAGAAAATCCCACTCAGTACATCCGAGCGATTGGAAAACCCCAGCCTTTTAGGTTAGACGCTTGAACCTACTTAAGTTGTTACTTTTCCAGTTCCCTGTTGTGAAGTTTTGATTCGTTTTCACAGTTCTGCTTGCTATGAAGTGCTTTGCTCAGCAGTGTTTATCACATGGGTGTTTAGACTTGGAAAAAAAGCATGGTCAACGGCCACCACTTAAGATACCACTTAAATTCGTACAAACAAATTATTGTCATTTTGAAGTGTCTTGAGTGCCATCTGAGAGCGTCAAATTTATTCAGTGTTCAGCAAGCTACTTTTAAAATTTTGAATTTAGCTGTAAGCTATAACTACATAAAGGTACTTTATATAGGTATTTAAAAAGTTGTTAGCTACTACAAGTTGCTAACTACATTCAAGCTATGCATAACTGCAAACTTATGCATAACTGGCATTGCAATTTATTTACACAAATATGCTGGATTTATCTGGCACATTAACAGCAAGGGGTTTCTGAATGAATGACTCACTCGCATAAAAAAACACCCTGATTTATACAACAGTCGGAAACAGCAGCATTTAACTAAATGCCATTGAAAAGAAGACCTAAAATGCTGGGTAGGAATTTGGGTCATTTAATCTTTTTTTTTTTTTCTGTGTCCAAATGAACCAATTCAGTAAAATGAATCGGACTTCCCAATGCCACTTGAGGAAGAGCTTTTGATTATAGCATTAGTTAATTCTGCAGTTTATCTGTGTGCTTGATTCAGTACATATTTTGTCACTACATGCTAGCTACATGCTTCTTGCGGGACAAAGTAGCTTGATACTGTAAAACCTTCACTATTTTGGAAAAAGCTGAGTCATTGTCATCTTATTGAAGAAGCAAGTTAAATTAGTAAAGTCGCTTTTATTTAATTTCACCCCGGAATCTTTAGTTATCAAAACAACAATCGAATTGAGAAGTACATTTCCAAACGATCAGCTGAAGTATTTTTTCAGTTTTTTGCTGCCTAACTCATTATGCACTCTAGCTATGACTTAACTATGACACATACTGTATTTAATGAAATTCTAGGTGATTTGGAAAGTACTGTACGTGGGCGAATTTTGCCAGTGCGATTATTATTAACACCCTCTCCAGTATGTGGTTATTAATCATAGGTTATTACGGTCTTCTTTTCTTTAATGTGAGTCATTGAAATGTGATGTTTTTTTGTTTGTCTTTTTTTTTTTTTTTTACTCTACAGTAATAGCGTGCTTTCACACTAAATTTCAGGTTTGAATGGGACCTGCATCCATGAGTGTGCTCTTGCTGGAGGCGTTCTATGGTGGTTCCCACAAACAGCTGGTTGATCTTCTCAAGGAAAGTGTTGAAGACTGTGTAAGCTTCACTCTGCCTGCAAAGAAATGGCACTGGAGGGCCAGAACGTCTGCTCTGTACTTCATGCAGGCAGTTCCAGCAAGTTCCTCGTACAGGTCAGTATAGGACAATATATATATATATGAAGAGTTTGGTTCCAAAACGCTATAAATCCATTTTGATTAATTTGAGTAAATATGTGTTTTCTTTACCAAGAAAGTGGCAAGATGAAAACCACTGTTTTCTGTTTCAAACTTTCACATAGCATCTTTAGGTTATAATAACATAAAAAATTCAAATCCAGATTTTGATTTTCAAAGATTTATTATAAAATTGAATTATTTTTTCCCCAAAATGCAATAAATCCATTGAATCAATATGAAAGTTATTTTTCATATTGAAACTGTTGAAAATACACAACATAGTAAGTTGATCCACATATGACAGCCTCTGAACTTGGTCAATACTAATCTTATATGCAGGCACTGGACTAAAAATACATTCAATCAGTCATTGCTCCCAAAATAAATTCAACCGGTCATCTTGTTAATGCTATAAATTAATTACAACAATAAAAGAAAATTTCATCATGAACAACAATATCACATTAGACCACAGAAATTCCAAAATGACATTTCCCTTACATTCAACTTCCAAAAGTGCATTCATCTTTGCCATGTTACATTCATTTAGTTGACTAGTGCTATACGCTGTATTAACAAAAACATTAATGGCATAAATAAAAACACACTGACAAGCTACGCAATATCACGTTCATAATCGAATGCGACTCATCTGCGATTATGAACGCTACATAGCAGTGATCTACGGCTCTGTGTATTAAATGCCGCTCCATCTGAAAGCACGTGATGGAGATTTACTATTCACAGAACAGGCTTTACTGACGAGATGCTCATGACAATCACATGCGATTTATCGTGCAGCCCTAAGTTTGTTTTTTGATCACAAAGTACAAAGTAGATGAGGAAAACTAGGATGCCGGGTGTATTCAAAGCGCCGCCATTACTGTCTAGAGTGCGTGGAATGGTGCGCTGTGATTGGTTGAGCGAATATCTTGCTTTTTCTAAAGAAAAAGGAGACTGGCGTTTGTCGCGGTTTGGAAAGAAAGGGAGAAAACATGACAGAATAACTCGGCGAATATCGCATTTTGCGTAAAATTAAAAATTGACTTTTCAATACCGACCAGATTCAATACTGATTTTGGCAGAAACTAAATTTTTTTTAAAATGGCGTTGATCGCATTTTGGAACGGGTGACCCCGAATAGTCGAAGATTCGATGCTTCGATAGGAGGAGCCTGATTCGTCTACCAATCTCACAGCTGAATATTCACGGGTGTTATGATCATTCTATTTTGGCTATAAGGGGGTGCTCAAATGTCTGATTTCACATAGAACTACCGGTTTTCAACCAATAAGTTAATATGCAGCCTATTAAGATAACTGCATTTATTTGATCCAAAATAAAGCTAACGCAGTAATATTGTGAAATATTTTTACTATTTAAAATAACTTCTTTCTATTTGAATATATTTTAAAATGTAATTTATTTCTGTGATTCCAAAGCTGCTTTTTTGGCATCATTACTCCAGTCTTCAGTGTCACATGATCCTTCAGAAATCATCATAGGCGGAGTTTCACATTTTTGCCTGGGGGGGCACTTACCGGCAGACCACGAGCTCTGATTTTTTTTTAAATTTTTTTTTTTACTACATATAGCATATACCATATTTTCTACATTTCAATGATTAATAGCCTATATCATTTCTTCTTCATTTAAAATACATTTACAATTAACAATGACTGCTACACTATACAAAGAGTGGAATAAAAACTTATATCTTACCTAATGTAGAAGAATCCGCCTCTTTTGCTGTGTCAGTATTAGCAGTATAATACATATTGGAAGTGTCAGAGTTAGAGAACTCCACTCTTTTAGTTGTGGGTTTATTAAAAAACAACAAATATCCATTTTGTTTATTTAGCATATCTCTGCAGACTAAAGCTGGAACAGAACGAGAAGAGAGTCCACTCACGCGATACTTTGAGATTCGCGAGTCGTGAGAGTAGAGCTTCTTTTTAAAAACATGAATTAAAAATAATTAAGCCTTAAATTACTCATTAAAATAATAAGATAATACAAATAAAATTAGAAAATGTGAAAATATTTGTTTTATTAAGAGCTCTGGCAAAATCAATTGGCTCTGCCCCCAATCCCACCCCCCCACCCCCCACCTATGGAAATCATTCTGATT